ATAAAAATCAATGTATGTATATTATATTTTTTATGTAAAATGTTTATTTTATAATCAAATAATAAAATAATGAATATTTATAAATATTCATAATATTAACAAAAAGTTTGTGAGAGCAAATGTGAAATTTGAGTAATATATTGTTTGTTGTCCACAGATTTTAGCATTAGTCACTGAAAGAATCAGCCAATAAGATAGAGTATGTTATTAATATATCAGTGGTGGAGTATATTATTTTTAATGCTTTGTGTGTGTGTGTTTTTATTTATACTTTTTTTTTTTTTAAATAATTCTTGTTTTTCTTTTCTTTCAGTCGTGTGGTCTTGCCATGCTCGGTGGAAGAGGTGAGTAAATTTTTTTTACATTTACCCCCCAAGTCCTAATAAAGCCAGCGGAGACCCACATTTCCTGTGGTTTAATAACGCTGATGTGATATTAGTTCCATTAGCAGCATCCATAGAGTCAGACGGCTCCATCTGATGTTTCTCTAGAGTTCAACATCACAATAGTCACATAAAACCCCAGCGTTTTGAACTCATCTGGCATGTTGAGGATTTGATCAGAGCAACAAAGAAGATAAAGCATGTCATGCATGTAGAACACGCTTGCCCTCAGGGAACATTTGAGTCTCGTGCTCTTTTGAGAGAAGCAACCTTGATGCTTGCTTGATTGGCATTGTTTGATATTTTGCATTAAGGGTGCCGCTGATTCGTAGCATACAGTCAGACTACTTTTGTGAAGTCCTTTTGCGGCCTGACAGCTGTCAAGCAGACTGTTTTTAAGTGATCTGAGTTGCAGATGCGTTCATATGTGATGCACAGATACAAGGATCCTCTTTCAGAAAAACACACTCTAGGGCTTCGTTCTATAACCTAGTGAGCTGCCAACAGTGCATGCATGTTATGGCATCATAGTTGCGCTCAACGCTTTTCCTGTGTTTAGAATGCAAGCCCAGAATGCACTGCAACAAGCTCAGTAGGGATTTAATGATTAACTGCAAGCCGGTCGAAAATCGATTCAAATATGTGACATTTCAAATCGGTCGAGATGCCAAACAAATCACGATACAATTGGAGTAGGAGTTTATATGAATGTATGTCTGAGGGGTACTGAATATCTTTAGAAAAGTTTACGTGGTATTTTCTTTTCATCTTGCCTCTGAACGATGCATATTAAAGTAGTGCTTTGTTTACAGCGGTAACCCAGAAAACACTGTTTCATTGCTGTTCCATGAGTGCCACCTGCTGTCAGAAAGTGAATCTGCGTCTCATTCAGCGCATCTGCTCTTTCGTTCAGATATGTTTTATGTAGTATAGTTTCACAAAACTAAAGTCAGACCATTCTCTTTTTGCTTCAAATTATGAAATTATACAGTCTAATTTAGATTAAAAACTCATGCTGCATGTATGCTGCATCTTTGTTCGGATCATGATTAAAATCCAGTGGTTGCCTCTAATTTTAAATGGATTACTATAAACTAAATGATGTCTATCCTTAGCCATTGGCTAATATATTCTTAGATTTTACTCGCCAGTGTGTGTTAGAGGCTAAGTACAAGTTTAGTACAGATATATTTTCACTCGCTGAACACTGACTGAGCGCTTGAAAGTTTCACTCTCCGTCAAGCGATCTGTACTATTTTAATTAAGCTCAATGGCGCACCTCTATTTGCCGCACCATAAACTCTAGTGTTAAAGCGCATGAGTCGCCGTCGCTTTGCTGATAGCGCTGTTTCTCACACATGCCAAGAGAGTGAGCGAGAGTCTTACATACCACACTGAATCAACGCGCTACATGTAAACTATATTCTTTGTTGTATTTTCCTTTCGAAATAATAGAGTTCATTTAAAATTATTCAGCTTTTAAGAACAAGCAGAAGATATTCTCCGGTAGTGGGCGGAGCTAATACGCAAACGGCATTCTTATTGGCTGGAGCTCATCTATGATCGTCCCTGTTTTGATCTCAGCAAATCAGTTAGAGCGAACGCAGACAACGTGATTAATATTCATGAACCCAGCAGCTCATCAATCCTTAGTGCATTGTATATTCTTAGTATAGTAGTAGAATTAGTAGTATTATTATCTTTTAATAATAATTACTATTATCTATTACTAGTTTTTTTTTTTTTTACAGAAACCCTTAATGACTAGGGCTGGGTAAAAAAAATATTGATTTCTCGATATTAATCGATTCTCAATTTTACGGAACGATATCGATTCTTAAATCCCAAGAATCGATTATTCTAGCCTGTTTTCAGTTAATGGATGGAACGTAGAAGGGCACTTCCCATCCAATATATCGCAATAAGCATTAGGGCCTTTCGCACCGCGGGAACCTTTTCATAGTACCAGAACTAATTGTGGAACTACGCACTTTTTGGCATTTTCGCACCACCGGAACTGGGTGCGATTTTAGTACCGGACTGCCTTTTTCGAGAACCAAATTAGCTCCTACTCCGGAGCAGGGTCTAACCAGCACAACTGGTACTAATCGTGACGTAAGTAGACATTGATTGGCCAAATGCGTACGAAAACGCCCTCACCCGCCATGATTTAAAATGCCGTGTAAACGTACTGTAAACATTGTGTCAACTTATTTCGCAAGTATGGAGAACAGCGATAGATGGACGGACGCGGAAGTGCAGGCACTTGTAGCAAATGTAGCACTGCCAGTTGTCATTGGAGATTCTAGTCCTCCTTTCCGTTCTTTCAATCGCTTTACGTATACGTTGACTTTCCATGTCCATTATTGTGAAAACCGCGAGACACAACAAAAACACAGCTCCGATCATAGCGTCCTCAATCCTCCTGTTGTTAATGTTGTTCTTCTTTGTTTCTGTTGTTGAACGCCGCGCACAAATGACGTCGCTGTCGACCGGTTTACGTCACTTCTTAGTACACACTGTCGGTCCGAATGCAACCCTTTAAATGGTACTGGGAAATAGTTCGCGCAAAATCGTCCCAGTACTTTAGAGTCTCAGATTTCAATTTATGTCCATTGTATTGTAGTATTCAAACAATAAATGCCGTTTTGGCGCTGTTTAATGTGAAGTGACAGATTGCTGTAGCACCTCAGTTTAACAGACGCAGCAGCGCGAGGTGCACGTGAGCTGATCATCTCCTCCACATTAATACCAGCTTCAGCACAAAATAAACATGACTAAACATCCGAAGGTAAGTTAAA